TTGGGGCACCCCATGGCAGTGGCACAGGGCAGAGTCAGACACAGTGAGATTGGGGCACCCCATGGCAGTGGCACAGGGCAGAGTCAGACACAGTGGGATGGGGCACCCCGTGGCTGCAGCATGGGACAGACACATCACATGGTGGGCACAGTCAAGTGACCCCCCTTGGCACTCACTTCATCTGCTTGACGATGGTGCTCTTCCCCGACTCCCCAGCTCCTGAGGGACAAAACACGGGTCACAGCAGTATCCACGCCATGGACACTCCCAGCTGAGCCCTGTGCTGGCCCGCTGGGGGCCCAGGTGGCTGACATGGCTGTGGGTGCTGTTGGCTGTGCCAGGTTCGTGGCTCAGGCTGTGCAGGGGGATTACAGCCTGGTGCCAGTGGCATTAAGGCTGGGTTGAGCTGCTGTGTCTAATGGGATCTGCAGCGGCTCAGCCAGGGACGCTCTCAAGGGAGAGGCTGGGGACATGGGGGCATTGCAACCCTGCTCCACCCAGTGCCCCGAAGCTGTGGCAGTGCAGGGAAAGTGTCCTGGGCCAGGCTGTGAGGACAGTGATGCCACCATAGTCCCACCACATACACGGCTCCCCAGTCCTCAGGCACCGTGGGGGACCGGGAAGGACTGGAAGGGACCCACAGTGCAAGGGGGCTGCAGGGACAGGCACAGGGTGGTGGTGGTGTGGGCCGCATGGGGGCCCTAGGAGGATGGGGCAGGGGTGCTGCTGGGGTGGGGTGATGGTAGGTGGTGYTGGTGAAGGCTCTTAAGATGGGCTGGTTGGGGTTGGGGGCCTGGGAGATGGGGGGATGTTAGGTGGGCTGGTGGGATTCGGGGATACATGGAAGCCAGGGGATCTTAGGGTGGATCTTAGGATCTCATCTTCTTGTTGAGAGGGTCTGTTGCATTTGGGGTGCTTGGTCAGGGGTGTTGAGCAAGTTATTGGGATGAGCTGGTTTAGGGGAGCCTGGGGATGGGGTGGAGGGGTTGTTGGGGTGGCTAGTTGGCTCTAGGGATGCTGATGGAGAAAGAAAAATATTGGGTGGGCTTTTGGGGTTGACTGGTTGGTTTTAGGGGTGCTGTGGGGGGTCAGAGGACTGCAAGAGTAGGCCGACTGGGGTTCAGGTTGCTTAGGAGCAGGGGACTGGGGACTGTTGGACTAGTTGGGTTTAGGGTGGGGTCAGGGAAACTTTGGGTAGTTTATTGGGGAGGGATTGGTTGGTTTTAGGAGTGCCTGGCAATGGGAGGCTGTTGGGGTCACTCTTGGGTTGTGCTGGTTTGGTTTAAAGGTTCTGGAAGCATCAGGGAAACACTGGGTGGGCTCTTGAGATGGGGAGGTTGGGTTTAGGGCTGCCTGGGAATGGGGGTGATGTTAGGGTGGGGCTGCTTGGTTTTAAGGGTGCTGGATGAGTCAGGGGATCGGCGAGGGTTCATCTGGGGGGCAGTGAAGTGTTGGATTGGCTGGTTGGTTTTGGGGGCGGCTGTGGGGTGTTCTGGATGGGTTGAGGAGCACTGGCAGGTGTCAGAAGAGCAGCGGGTGGGCTGTTAGGGTGACATGCACAAAGGGTGGCTACATCCCCCAGGCTGTTTTCTCCCCCTTACCCAGCAGCAGCAGCTTGACGGTCCTGGCATCCTTCTCGGCGTCTTCCTTGAGCTTTTTCTCCAGCTCTCGGGAATGCTTCTCCTCGGCGCTGGCCCCGGCTCCCATCCTCGGCCCCGCGGCCCTGCGGTTCAGCGCCCGCTCCTTGGAGGTCAGCAGCAGGATGGGCAGCGAGCTCCAGCCCCCCGCCGCCTCCAGCGCTCGCTGCCGGTGCCGCCGCCGCCACCGCGCAGCCGGTGTGGGACAAGGACGGGGCCAAGGTCCGGGGGGGCCGCCCACGGGGGGCTGTGCTCAGCACCCGGGGCTTAAGCCGGGCCCCCCCGATAAACCCCCTTCAATCTGCAGCGGGCTGAGCTCAGCAATCCCGCGGTTCCCGGTGTCAGCGCTTCTGCCGGGGGGGCCCGCACCGATCGGCCCCCAGCTATGTCCCCGCCCTGGGGCAGGGGCAGTGACCCGGCCACCCTGGGGACTTGGGACCCCCACCCAGCTCCAGCTCCAGCTCTGCTGGGCTGTGGACCCCAGGGGTTCCGAGTTGGGGGTGGGATGGTGTTTCTGCAGGGGTCTGGTCACWGTGGGAGCAAATGTCCCCATTGTCCCCATCTCACCTTTTCATATGCCCTGCTCTGGACTAGTGCCCACTGTCCCACCCCAGTGAGCCATCCCAGTGTCTCCAGGGCCATTTTCCACAGTGACTGACTGTCAGCCTCAGTCACCACACCGTGTCCCCAGGGGCCCTTCCAGGACCCTCCACTAATGTCCCCATGCCCCCCGGGTGCACTTCTCAGTGTGCCCAGCCACTCCCAGTGCCAGCAGGCCAGCTCAGTGTCACCTCCGACCACCCCCGGGCCCTTCAGCGACACCTGCCCAATATCCTCAAGGGTAGCCGCACACCCTGCCCGGGGTCTCCAAAGCCCTCCCCAGTAACCACCAAAAAATCCCAGTGTCCCCAAGCAATTCCAGTGATCTGTGTGGGAGCCTTTCCCCCCTCCTCCCAAAAACCCTGCCCAAGGTCCAGGGGCACTGCAGTGCCACCTCTGTGTCACCACCGCAGTCGCAGTGAGCCCCCCACAATGTCTCTGGGTCCCTCAATGTGCCTTCCCAGTGCCCCCTTCTTGTGTCCCCAGTGCTCCCCATCGCCATCGCGGCCATCCCAGCAAACTCAGCAACCCCAGGAGCACCGCAGTGACTCCCCAGTGTCCCCACACCTCCGGTAACTCCAGATCTTCCCAGGACTTTCCCAGTAACCCCGGTACAGCCCAATGGCCCTGTGTCCCCCACTGTCCCCATCTGTCCCCCACTGTCCCCATCTGTCCCCAGCGCTCCTGCAGCGCCTCGCTCAGCCGCCAGAGGGCGGAAGCGCCCA